GGGGGGGGGGGGGGGAGAAGGAAGTAGGATCTCCGGAGCTTCCGAAACGATATTTCATTCTCGCGATTAGCACGTATACCATTAGTCTCACGCGAGCACGCGATGGTCGTTAGCATAGAAACCGGAAGGTAGGAATCGACATGGATCCCAAGATGCGCTACTCCCGTGGAAAGGATCGTGCAAGGTGGTTGCCGGTAGTGGGCCAGGGACTTACCTAACCTAACATACGTCGTATATGCCGCATGCCGCGTACCTACCTTCGTGGCTAGATAAGTCCTCGGCAGAATCGGACGAGCATTAAATGTCAACGTCGATCGCGGAACGGCGTAAATAATCGTTATTATCGAAGCCAGAGAGCCAGGGTGACTCACGGCGGAGGCGGTCTTGCCTTGTAATTTATAGATCGGAGAGCAAATCGCCCGGGAGGAAGAGCCACGACGAGTTTTTGTGGGATGCTGGACGCTCCTACCAGTTACGGAGGATACGGCAGCTATTTTCGTAGATTGTAATATGTAAATTACGGCTTTAGGTCGCTTGGCTATGGTACGTTCGGACGGATAACTTTCTGCCTACTGTATATACGTATTATATATACGTCTGCACGTAGATAGTATACCTCCGTGGTACATACCTAAGTTTCGATCGAGATGAACACCAGTGTGAATAATCTGTACCGGGTAATAACGTTTTTAGAACTTCATCTTTCCACTGTACAAATTATAGGTTCCGGTTAATTGGTGTACCGGAGTGTTACTGGTGGGAATATATTTTTGGTCATTTCCACTGTAATCAGTAGGTTAGGCATTACGTATTGGGCGTGTAGATACTTTGAGGTTGTCGGGACGACTACTGATACTGAAATGGTCGGTAGGTTAGTGATCCTTGAAATGATAGTAGTAAAATAAAATGTTCTACTATCACGCAATATACGTCAGTCCAAAGAGCTCTTGATAAAAGTTCTGGGTATACGTTCAAGACAGGATAGTATATGATTGATTGATTGCCATATAGATATAGTTATAGAAAGAACGAGATGCCTCACCCACATGTATAATTCAACAAGTTCATCCGACACTCGAATTAAAACACCCTGTATACGAACTGTAGGATATGTATCGTTACGTGTATATGTTAATAAAATACGATTGTTTTTATCAACAGAAAGATTTTCTCTCTTACCTTCTAAAGGAATCTTGTTAACAGGGTCGGTTACCAAGGATCTAACCTAACCTAATTTTCGGAGGGGGCAGGAAAACAATAACCTGTAATTTAAAGCATACAAAGAGCACGAAGTAATGTAATAATAGTACGGAATATTGGGTCAGGTTGTAAATGGAGAACTGGTAGCAATTCCAAGTGAAACATACTGGTAAGTCCAATCTCGAGCTCAGAAGTCCAGAATCGAGAATCGAGAACCCAGAAGTCGATGGGAACCGCGGAGGTTCCGTCTTCACATATTGTGCCAACAATTAGGTGAAAGGCGCTCCCACAGATCGTAGATCCTAGAGCGTCTCGCGATCCTACGCCTCCTAGGCCGAAGACTGGATCATTTAATATACCGCTTAGCTCCGGCCGTATGGCAGTTACTACATCGTGAACTGTGCCTGAGAGACCAGTCGAGCAAAACACACCTCGTGTTCGCCCAAGGGGACTAATCTCCCTGCTAGTTTGACGTGGCGATGATGCTGCGGTAGTAACCTTTAGGTTGGTACCTACTGCGTCTTCACTTCGCCTTCTCGCAGCTTCTACCATCCTACAAACGCCTACACGAACGATTACTATTCGATATCGAATTCTTACAAGACGATATTATTGCCCCTTTGAAACAACTTTCTCCTTCCTTTTTTTCTTGTTATTTACCCATTTTTATCACGGATGCTCGACAAAGGATTTTTTATGGTGACTTTTTTTTTTCTTGATTCACGTTTTCGAACTCGATATAGGATATTTTTTTTATTTTTGACTGGAGTTTTTTTTGCGTTTTAATGTTTCTGTTGTTCTTTGCTGTTGTGCCTTTATGGGGAATAATTAAATATTATATATGAAGATCTTCCGGCAGTTGTGCAATTTGTTGAAATTGCTAAGGCTAAATTTATTGTTAAATAAATACTTGGCGTATGTCATGTATATTATATTACCTCGGTATGAGGTACACTGTAATTACGGTGATAGGAAAAATTGAGGTTAAAAATAATCTAACTAGCTTCTAACGTAGGAACGAAGTTACTTGAATTTCCCTCAGAGAATACTATCGTTACTATCGCTAGTGTCACGTTGGTATAGTTATTTTTACCATCTGTAATAATTATTAGGATGATGCAAATATTTTTAATTGATTCCTTAGTCAGTGATTATAAAAAAATTTTTATTTAAATAAACCTATATCGTCCTATACAACAAATTAAAAATATTATCAATAATATACTTAACCACAATCGTAAAAAATATATAAAATTCAAACATCTTTCAATTAGTAAATCAATTATTTTGTCATTAATTACATCGTTGCACACGATTATGCTTTATTGAAATATTTTATGATTCCGTGACTGCTACCGGATCAAATCATTGAATCGTCATCATCAAGATGCACCGTACGCATATGCATATGTACAAAACTTTCCATTTCCATATAGAAAGCCACGTAAAACCATTAGCAGCAATCACCAGAATTTTTCAATGACCTTTAACCCGAAAATGATCCCAATCTGAATCGAGGCACATGTATCGTCAATACAGAAGTGTGGCAGAAGTTCACTTTCCGCCCGGGGAGGAGAGAGTCTGCATAGGATAAATAATCTTATATTATGGGAAACCACGTGAAGCTTCTGCCCGCTATCCCCGTGCACGCAAACACTCTAAAAACATCTAACGGATATGCGATCATCAGCTTTGCAATTTTCCAGGCATTTATGTTTCACTTAAACCTCATAATATATAAGAACATATAGATAAAACAGTTAAGCGTTAGATAGTCAGCATTTATAATTTAATAAAAAAAAATTTGAATAAAAAACTATAACTCCAGAAATAATTCATGTATGTAACAATGCAAGTTTGACCGAAAAAAAATATATAAGGATTCTTGTTTCTAGGTTCCTCACGAATTTCGCCCGAGGTGGTGAGAGCCGATGAATAGGATAAGCACGCGTCTCTTGTTCCTTCTTTTATTCGTTTTTTCTTCTTTTTCTTTCGCTCGATCTTCTTCTTTTTGACTTTTACTTTCAACACGCCCACACTCGGCTTTTCATAACGATACGTTAATTACATCCTGGTAATTAACCGATCGGGGAACTAACGTGTTTTTGGATTGACGTTTTTCATTTCTAAATATTCAAAATGTCTACTCCCTGGTGAACGAACGTAACAATAAATTAGTAGGAGATGTGGATCAGCTTGTAAAGCCCGAATTTTCAGACAGGATTATCACACCGCTTTATACGTAATATACTTCATATTTGCTTTTTTAACGTATTACCTTTTTTTTTAATAAAATTTTGATATTGACAAAAATCGTGATACCTCATAAAGAGCTTGTTTACGAATCAGTAAGCAAATACATAACTATTAAATTAAATTGCCCATTGTAGAAACAGCACTGAAGCAGTATTTTGGAACTACGATAATGGCGTGTGTGATTTTCGCAATACCAAAAATTATTTCGATATCGACATTTACATCGTCCTATACTTTCCTGCATAGACAAAATATTTGTATACCATTTGAGTAATTGAACAATAGTAAATATTACACAAGTATCCTATTATTATTCACCTAAATTTGGCAATGCGACCAACAGCAAAAATACAAATTTATGTAAACTCAAAAATGGTACTTCCAATCAGTACAACTAGAGTAGCAAAAAGAAATGCTGTCAAAAGAAAAGAATCAGGAAGGAGTAAAGGGGAAAAGAAACCATTGTATACATTTTTTTTACGACTTGGTGAATTTATTGGTAGGCCGGTAGTGGGTTTACCCACAATACATTGCGATACCTCAAGAGCGCGCGTCGGCGTTCGACTATTTTTGAAGGGATGACAAAGGAAAAAAGAGTTACGCAAAAATAACATTGATAGCCGTATAGAAACGCGCGCGTCGTATTCGTGTAAAGCTAGCGGTAGATTATAAAATAGAATATAGATACAATAATAATTAATAAAATTATTATCACTCCTAGTACTAGGTACAACAGGGGGCCTCGATGATCGAGGTTGCCTATCGTGCTAAGATGACTAAGGTCTATCCGATAGTATTTATAAAATAATAATAATATGCTCGGGAGGATAATCCGTATTATTTATAATAATATTAAAAACACAGTATTACATATAAGCTATATACAAAGCGCGACTGCAGTCTCATTTTCGGTGAGGACCTGGCCTTTATTGTAATTTATAATTTGCTGCTAGCACGGATATTCGTCGCCATTAATTATTGATACATCTTGTGTAAGCGTCGCGATAACAATAATCAATCGCTTTAATTTATTTCTATTGAACATTCTACGATTCTGTGTTTCGAGTGTTTTTCGTTCTTCCATTTTTCAACATTAATTTCCTACGCGAGTTCAAAGTAAACCAAGGCAAGCTGAAAAGCAAGTCTCGAAGTAAGTCTCGAGACGCCGCAGCTGCATTTTCGAATGGGCAAGAAGAAATATATTTTTTTTTAAATTATTATTTTTTCATTATCGAGCCACGGTAACGTCTCGTTGTCCTTCCCGAAGAAGAATTCGAATGAAGAAGATTTTGCCTCATAGACACTCTCTTTAAATATACCTATCACTAATCTATTTAGTCGTTCATTTACGTAAGGGAAATCTAATGCGAATATAAACGATCCATTTTTTTTCCTTCAAAATACAGTATAAGTTGTTACTGGATTCCGTATGATTTTCAATTTTGCGATACTCCAAAGATACCTAATTCGAACGTGACGTATCGATTGGTATCATTGAATGCAGCAATCGTCTAGACCGTCTTGTATGCGGAACGCTTCATCGAGCTTATGTGCAATTACTTCATTCCCATAAAATTCATTCCCAACTGATCGACCTCCGCTCCGACAGTATCGCTATGGCCACCAGCTCGATTGAAATCACTTGAATAGAAATGACACTATTTGTTCGCTACCTTAGAAACTGTCAACTCAAATTCGCATGTAAAAATTAAATCGTTAAGAGTTACTTAAAATTGCTGTACTTGAAAGCTTTCCGATGACACATTGACAAATTTAATTAACCTAAATCTTTCGGCCTCTCGATGACTTAAAATTCGGTTTGTTAAAGACACTGGATTTGTAAAATAAAAAAAAATGATTGAAAAAGCTCAAAAGTATCTATGACGTATGTTGCGTATCTTCTATTTGACGAAACAGATCAAGAATGACTGCGCGAAGATGTCTTTAGTACATGAAGAGATGTCCGTGTGAATTTTTAAGCAAAATCTCTTTAGCATCTCCAGCGTCTTCGAATTCCTCGAGTTCTTCGGAGCGGTAGTCGACAGATGGTGAGTCCAGGTTCCTGATGTCGCCCGGGGCTTGGGCGTGGTCGACGGTAGCTCAAGCTTAGTATACTTCAGTAGCATCCTTGCAGAGTGAACGGTCCGTTATTATGTAGTCCAATTTAGGACATCAGCCTCGAGGAGTCCTGTTCCTCTGGTAGATGTAAATCCTTTCGCTTAACTGGTCCGCTATCGATTACCGATGCAGAATCTTGCTGTTGGGTATACCAAGACCGGACCTAACCTTCAATTGCTTGAATATGAACTCGTTAGATCTTCCAAGTTGAAACTCGAGCATTGCCGCTAACCTATTGTCAGGATCATTCTCAACTACCTAGATCATAGATAGGTACTAGGCGTTCCTTTTGGATCCCGCTGCATCCACCTGAATCAATGTTACCGATGATGAACTTTAAGTATCGTTCTAGCACCAAGACAAATCCTTGAGACTTCAAGCGTCAGACAATCCTGATCACAGACGTATGTAAACCCTGGCAATTTCCACACCACCGAGCTGATTGTTCATGTAAATCCGAGACTTCCGAGTGATCCGCTGATGGAAATCCTGGTGTTCCATCAGTTAATCCCAAAGGATCTGGTGCCGGTCCCCTGCCGATCTCAGGATGATGAGTACCGGTGGCTCCGATTAAATCTGATGTGATAAACTTTGGCCAATAGTTGACAAAGAATCTCGAAAGACGATCGAGATCGTTTGCTCGAATTTACTGATGAACGGGTACAGGTCTTCCCGACGGCTTCGATCCGGTTGGTAGTTCCAAGGTTAGCCGGAAGTTGATGCTGGCACCAGGTCAACGGCACCGGTACATCCTTCGATGGGAACATCGTCGTAGGTGTCAAAACAGGCAGGCGGCAGAGACGAACCGTAGATGAATCGGTCATGGGGTACGAGAAGTGGGTGTTTGGATGATATCGCGTATAGGTATTTCTACGGGAATTGGGACTGCTGGACTAGCAAGCACCCTTTAGCAGGGCTAGCGCTGGTAAAAATGTTGGATACAATGTTAGGTACTTTCAAGTGGATCTACGTAAACTAAGCTTTACTTTAATTTGGGAATAAGGGATGCTCTGGAGATAGTAATAGGGATGGGGAGGTGGGGGGGGGGTGGATCCGGCGAATGGCTTCTAGTACCTAGAGTAACCATTTGAATAGCCGTTTGAGTAGCCGTTGGAGCCCTTGTAGGGAACAGAGTGTATGCTCCTGGAACAGAGATCGTTGAATTCGGAAGGTGAGGAGGCTAGCTTGCGTTTGCTCAAAGAGACTTCGGATAATCGATCAAGAGTCATTGATCGGTAAGATAAGACAAAAGTGCGTAAGGTTAGAAAGAAAGAGAGCGACAGAGAGTTACAGATCGATCGATGTCACTTGGTTAGTATGAAAAGTTACACCGAAGTGGAAATAAGAAAGTTTCATGTGAAGTTCATGTGAGAACCACGAAGTAGGAGATGATGTTCTCGAAATGGAAGTAGTAGATGAAGGGCATGCTGGGTAGCGCGGCGGTCTTTCACTCTTTTCTATTTTCTTTTCTTTTTTTCCTTTCCCTCTTTCAGTCGGGATCGCGGAGGCAGCGGTTTTTGGGAATTTTTTTTTTCATTATGATGGGATTTCATATGATGGGGGGTTCGGGATAAAGGCGTATGGGGTTTTGGGAAGGCAGGAGGTTCGGAGCTCCCGCTCACCGCCACCCACATCTACAACAGAACAGAACAAGACCACCGCTGTTACACACAACTCATCCATCGTCCGTTTTTGGGCATTAGGCCCACTTCAGTCCCAGAATTCTACGTTATTACGGTGCTCTCGATAACTTCAGATATTTTTCATCGTTCAATGAATTCAAATGTTACCAATAAAAAAAAACTAATAAAAAAAATCAGGTATACCTCATAAAAGTATCAATAAAAATTTTACAACAAGGTATAAATAAGAATTTAATTTTCAAATTTCCCGCGCGTACACGTCATGTCAATTATTAAAGATGCAACAGCCACATGTAAGTCTTATTATGTGTTCTCGAAACGATTTTATATTTTTTCAATATTCACGAATGACACGTGTACGAGAGATTTGACAGATCAATAATATTTTTAATTATTTTTTATTTCAACTTAATCAGCATATTTCCATTTCACGCTGATGCTTCGTCGATACGTGAAATCAATTTAAATTTACGTGCGCGACGCGAACATCGAAAAAAATAATAAGAATTCGTTCTCGAGAGCCGAGAGTATATTCTGTGTTATTGGGTCTCCATGCTAAATAATCATTCCGAAGAAGAGGCCGTTATATTCCATTAAAAAGGTCATTAATATTGTGCAATCTTCGTGCAAGTGCATCGCGTTAGAGCGTTGCGCATACGTGCACATGGAATTTCAAGCCTCCCGTCATGTAGAAACGCGCCTTTAAGGACACATTACCGCGTTGGTAATTTCTGTAGGCGAGAGGATGTTTCCACGCCCACGCATCCAATCTGTATATTTCTATATGTACAAAAGTGCATCCTTATATACTATAGACTTGACGCTTTCCATGTTGCGTATACGTCATACACACATACACACCCACACTTTGTCCTAAAGTCTTTCCATCTTGATCACTTATTATTGTTTTTTATTCTATTCACTGTTTTCTCAGTGATTTTTCACCTACATTGAAAAACCAGGTAAATATTCACGTTATAAGAGACCTTACGGCGCATTGACAGAAACGCGGTGATTTTCATATGAAAATCTGTTTAACTGTTAGTTGAAAATCGAAGGACATTCGTCGTCATGATTTCTAAGTGGGAAAAACCAGTATGGATACTGGATAGTCGAGTAGGCGACATTTGAACTTGTAACGCGACTTTTATTTTTATGGTCATTCATAAACGCTGCTTTGCTTTGATCATAGGTTTTGATTATTCAGCATTCGCCTCTTATAGAAACGTCTCTGTGTCCGTGCGTACCGATGAGTCTTGTCGTTGATGAGAAATTGAAAAATTTGTTAAATCTTGGAAAGTTAGTTTTTTCCGCGGTTAGCTACGTAAGTTACGTCATTTTTCAAATGCAAACTCAATTTGAAGAACCGCAAAAAGTAATAGGTACGCCCAACCAACCGGTTCTCGGAGTAAACGCACGCCGCCATTTTCCATGAAAAAAAAAAACAAAATTCGTACCAAGGCAATCAGGGATATATGCCAAAACGTGAAAAATGGCATATATACTGTATCTAGATAATACGTAACTTTTTAACAAATTTTTGAAAACGACAGTCAAATTCCTCATAAGATACTTGAAAGTTCAAAAAAACCTATATTAGCTCCTGAACACATAACTGAAAAAATCCAGTAACTCGAACAGACAAATATTATTTCCACATACGTAATTCAAACCGTGATATTACGGTAAAAAAAAGGAATCCAAATTGAAAAAAAAAATCAAATCACCAAAAAACTCGTAAAAACTGGACTCGACTCTCACCAGACACTCGATACCACCCACGATATTCATATTATCGAACCAAGCCTTTTTAGAGCTGTCAAAAACGGTAAAAAAAAAGAAGCACAACACACGCAACTAAAAACCGTTCATCGTAAGAAAGACAATGGAGTCCCGAAAACCCGGTCGAGGCACGAGTGAAACACGATCGAAATCCAACGAGAATGACACTTCATAGTCTTGACAAGCCGCGCATAGATGCGAATCGATGAATAAGAAAAAGAAAAATGCGAGGAGCACGAGAGCGGTGAAAAAGGAGGCAGGAGAATGTTAAAACTGATTCTGTCAATGAGCCGCGTTCGCGGTGAAGTGAAGTTACATGGAAACGACGTAGAACGTGTAGGGTATTAAAGAGTTCTCTTAGGTACGTTACCTGTGCTGCTTAAGGTTGTCCTGCCGCTTGAAGGACTTTCCGCAGACCTCGCAGGTGAAGGTCACATCGTCCTTGTGGCTGCGCTCGTGGATCATGAGGTTGTAGGGTTTCGTGAAGCGTCGCTGGCAATACTTGCAGACGAACTCGACGGTGCACTTGGCGCGCATCTTCTGCCGCCGGCCGAACTCCCTGCCGTGCCCCTCTGTCTCCATCGGCATTATCGCGAACATCCTTATAAATTCCCACCGCTCCCTCGCTGACTATACTCTCTGTCTATCGTCGGCTCTCTCTCCCCCCACCACTCTTATTCTCTTTCTCTTTCTTTTTCTCTCCTCTCTTCGTTCTCTCTCTCTTTCTCTCTCTCTCTCTCTCTCTCTCTCTCTCTCTCTCTCTCTCTCTACTGCTACCTCGCCGGCTCTCTCAATCTCCGACTCTCAGTCCTCCTGAATATGCCCGTCTAAGTATGCGTATATCGATGCGCACACATGGGAGAGAGTGTGCGGCTCGTGTGTGCTTCTCGTTCTCCTCCTCCACGTGTCTCTCGTACTGCTTGTCGCCTCGGCTCCAGCCTCCGTGAGTGAGATCACTGCCTCGTCTCGAACACGACGGATCGCTACCTGCAGACAAAATCGCTCGATTCTATTCGCCCGTTTGATTCTAGAACACGACTAAGAATAGACTTAGTGAAAAATCAGCTTTTTATGCTGGATTATGAATATATGAATTTTACAAGGTTTTGTAGAATAACAATCTGTCATTGGACCGTAACCTAAGCATTCGACGATCACAGAAAGAATTTTAGGAATATCTGATTGGCTGAAGAGTTCATAGGGATTCTCGTATTTGATACCGTATCGAAAAAAATTGATTGATCTCAATTGATACAGAATTTAATTTTCTTCATATGTCAAATTCAGTTACATACTGAATGAATTATGAAAATTATTCTTATGAAGCATACGACTTTGCGTTAGTGAAACTTTGATGTAATAAAATTCAATTTCAATTCTTTCCTAGAAAATTCAAGAAATGTTCTTAATTGCTACGAATTTTACGATCGGTCCCCACGTATAATCGTAGTACAATCAAACCCAGACCATTGCGCAAGACCTTGGCTGTTCTCTAATATCAGTTCTCTGCAAATAAAGGATTCGAGCTAGAATATCAAAAGATCCGCGATGAGTCGCTTTTCGTTGGGTGCGGTCGGGTTAGGGGTTAGGGTTAGGTTATATTGACAAAGCAAAGGAGCGCGTGAAGTGTGAAGGCGTGGACACTTTGGATTCGGGCGAGCTCCGCCGTAATAAAAGCCGATCGCGGCCATTGTATGCCTCAGCTACCGTGGCGAAGCGTGCTCGAATAAAGTGGCGTGTCCGAATGAGTAATAAGCGTGTCGGGGCGTAGTCCGGTTGGTTCTTGGTTAGCAAGGCTAACGGCGGTGGGGTCTAATTGGGCCTCTGTGTTACGCAGCCCACCTCGTAACACACATACATTATACAACATCCGATACCGACTGCCCCCACGCTTCTCATCCATTTAAGTTTCTCTACTCCAATGCTAAACGATGGGCTACCGTTTAGAATATTACGTGCACTTGGCAAAAATTCACCTTCAGGGACAAACAGAGTAGGATGGAGGTATGGAATTTCATTGTGATTATGATACTGGACTTGTTTTTGAAAAGTTTACAAAATATTTAACTTTTATAGCAGCTTTGTCGCAATTTGCTGTATGTTGATCATGGGTATTAAGGGAGTATTTTTATAATTTTTTTTTCAATTATTTTTAGTATATGTTGAATATTATTTGTGTCTATTTTGTTGGTGAACATTGTAGGGATTTCTGGGTCTTATGAGGCTGTGGGGATGTACTATGATTTTGTACTGTTGATATGGGAGTTATTAATGATAATAAATTGTATGAGGCTGATAGAACGGTACAACGGTGTTATCTGGTTATTGGTACAGGAGAAAAGTAACGAAGCTACCAGTTTTCAAAATATAAAAGGTGTGTAGTAACGAGCGTGCAGTGGTAGAGACTATAACCAAGTAATTATACGTATCCCAATGTGCGAATAAGAAAATCAAATGTAAACAACCGCTGACACTCGAGAGATGATTTTGTTAATCGGTGAAGAGATCCTAGGCTAAATTCAGAATATTATTAACTAGTCGAAAAAAGATTGATAGGCCGAGACACCATGGATAATAATGAAACTGATAAGCACGAACCCAGGAAATATGACGTTTTTCTCGAAATTCAATAATTTAACAAATTAAAAATAATTATTTACATCACTATTTGTATTATTCACTCATACGATTCGCTCATGAAATAATATATGTTATACCGAAAAAATTTCGAAATTCATTAACACAAATTTTCATATGCTCCAAATCAATACAGATCATTAACGACTCCGAATATTCACCAAAACAGGGTTACACTAGTCATACAACCAATGGTTGGACAAAAAAAAACTTAAAAAATTGAATATAAAAGTTCACTAAAAATCCAAGTCGAAAGTTTTATTTCTTAAAAAAATCTAGATTTTTTTAATGATAGTTTATCGTCATTCGATCTCAGACGAACAAAGTCCTGACACTACAAGTGGGGATTAGTTTCGCTGTAACAATCAAATCAGAATATGCTAAAGAAAGTAAAAGCAAGCTCACGAAAAAAATAAGGGGTCGAGCTGATGCAGCGCGAAGTGCGCCAACCAAAGAACGGCTACCATGTGGCAGCGTTGATTCGCCCGTCGACGGATAAGAAGCCAGTAGCCAACCAAAGAGAAGCTACCGTGCGTGCGTCGTTCCGGATAAGAAGGGAGCAGCTCTTTGGCGGCAACTCGTAGCCAACCAAAGATCGGCTACCGTGCACCGCCCTACGCTAAAAGACCGAGCTACCGGTTTTAGGCCAGTCGCTCCCGAGATCCCAACTCGGGACCACACCCTCCCTCGCGAGGGAACTTATTCACATATGAGAAAGGGCCCAATGTACGTTAAGGCCCTTCCATTTGATTGCCCGATTAAATGGAGGATCCCTTTTCTTGGGTCAGATACGTCGCTGCTATCGATACCCCACCTAAAGTCGATCTATCGCGATCAATTGCAAAGAAAATTATACTGACTAGTGAACGATACATTTTTCACGGTATCCACATATGTTTTAAGTGATAACGTATTTACATAAATTTTTTGCAAATTTTGTAAATACTTATGTTAATCAAAATGAATCTGTTGCGTAATATAATTATCGTGACTCCGAACGGTACGATTAATCGGTAAGAGTGTTATAATTAGCGTATACGATCGTCCGACGGATAGTTTAAGTTTACGATACGATGATTCGCATGTAGCGACGGTGAGCATCGTGGTTATCGAACGATAATTTCAGGATCACGTATGCAGTGATGCATAAATATAGTTTCAAGTGTGCGACAACCGGTTGTATAACTTTCGTTAACCTACATACACGATGAGCGCTTCTCATTTTTCAAATCCCCAATAAAACAAACAAATTCCGATCGATCGAATCGATGTATATCGCGTGTATAGTAACAACGCGAAGTGATTAATAAATATGACCATAGGATCCTTGAACTTGACGAGTAACGAATTAAGCGTCAAGGTAAGACCATACGGCGAACGTAAAAATAACAAGCAGCCACGAGTTCGCGCACTGTGAACGAACCCATAAAAGTCAGTAGCATACAAAACAGGATCCCCGGTTATGCGAAGGAGCCAGAGTGTCCGTGGTAGGTATGAAGTACCGATATAACGCACAAGCCATCCAAACTGGGTCCATCCTCAGGATGCATCTCGTGTCTCTCGTCGCGATATAAATCAGAAGATTCCATAAAGTCAATGTCACTTACGTTGATTACGTGACGCGCAGTTAAAACGGGTCTGAGGTTGTCCAACGTCGAGTGATCCCGTTGAGCTTGAGGACGCAGGTCGCAGTGGTCGATGGCGCGTATCGGAGTCGTAGTTGCTATTGAGGATGAATCACGTCCAGAATCTAATTCGTAGTCACAGTTAAACGTCTACGATAACGAATCACGTATTGGATGCTGTCAGGTGTGTACCAGGTCTGGACCGTTTGGGAGCGCGGCGTCGACTGAACTGCGGCTGCCGGGTCGGTGCGGTGGAAACTTGGTAGCCCGAATAGTAGACGGAAGACGGTAGGTCGTAGTAACGCAAAGGTTTCTTCTGGTTGGAGGACCGGGACCTCCCTACCGAACTCGAGGTCTGTACGATATGGTACTCTGGTAGTGGTAGTCCGGAGGAAGACGAAGAAGAAGAAGAAGAGTACGAAATGGATGATGATGATGATGATGATGATGAAGAAGAGGAAGTAGTAGTAGTACTACTAGTAGTAGTATAAGTAGTAGTCGTACTAGTAGTAGTAGTAGCGCTTTTTTATCCGGTGATGCGGTCCTCGTCTGGTGGGTCGCCGAATAGCAGCGAGGTTACTCACAAATCCTTCGGCGATGCAGCTTCTTGAGCTCCCGCTTAGGGTCCGCTTCCCTTCCCGGCATCGGGATCCTCTTCCCTTTCTCTGGTGGCTTCCATCCCTTCTACCGTTTGAAGGACCGCCCTCGTGCACGGGGTCCCTGCATACATGCGTCTCTTGCCTCGCCTTACCGAGCGGCGCCTCTCTTCTTCGCCCCTAGCCCTTTGCAATGAGATCTTCCCTCTTGGATCACGTGTCCATTGTCTCTTTCTTTCACTCCTCCTCGCTTACTCTTCGTGCATGACTCTTACTGTATCGGGCCTTTCTCTCTCTGTCTTTGTTCAGCACGTCACGCGCGCGTTCTGCTTGTGTTGGTTGCCCTCCCGCGGGGGCGGTAGCCTATTCCGCTAGGGAGAGAACTGGAACCCGGCTGCGGAGGTAGCACTCGGACCGGCACCGAAGGGTCCTGCCAACCAGGGTTTCTTTCCCTCTTTTACTACTTCATCTTCTGCTTCTTTCTCTTTGATTCTCTGAACTCTTTTACTTTGACTCTTCTTGCTCTGGGATATACTGGGAGTCTTATGGTTCGACTTCTTAGGGGGTTTAGGTATCGATCAGGAATTTAAGAACTGGTGAGAGATCCCTTTTAAATTTCTTATTAGGGAAATCATGAGTATGGTTTACAATCGAGGGGTTAAATCTTAAGAGTAGATATGGTTATCGGAATGTAGTTGTATCTTTACTAGTTAATTTGACGCAAATTCAATGCAATGATAAATTTATAATATTTTGATAAGCTATGAAGATCTCTTAAATAGGTACTTGTTGCATTTACATAGAGTACACTTGATTTAGCTAAAGTTATATTTGCCATAAATATCAATTACTGTAAATGTTAACATGGACAAAACGAGTGTGTATACTGTACTGTCAATTATATACAGTATATCAGAATAACTTGACAGATACAGAGATCCCAGCGTTCGATTGTACAACGTTATTAAGAGTGTCGAATAAATTATATTGATATTGCACTGAGACTTGGGCCAATTTTTTGAGTTCATCCAAACATCTGTAATTCTATATTACTCAATAACGTTCTGTAATACTATAATAGTAATTATTGAAAAATCATATGAAGGAGGAATGAGCAAAAATTGGTTTACATCGTTGAAGCGCTTAAACATTTCTATCAAGCTATCAAGATGCGTCTCTCTGATCCCAAGGTCCTCGTTGCTCCGGCAAGTTTCTTCAGGCACAAGAGAAGGAAATACCATCGTGAGACAGAATAGCGCCGATGCGGCGGGGGGAGGGAGAGAAAGAGAAAGAGAAAGAGGTAGCAGGATAAAGAAAGAGAGAGTGAGTGAGTGAGAGAGAGAGAGTGAGTGGTTCGAGAGACGAGGGAGAGACGTCAAGAGAAGCCAGAGAGTGAGAAGCCGTAGAGACGAGTCGGGGGCCACAGCAGCGCCGCAAGGGTTCCCAGGGCACGTGGGAAATGCACAGTAGTCGCTGTCAACCCCCCACTATGTGGCTGGACCACCGCCCCCACCACAGCATCTGTGAACCATCGCCAGGAGTCCGACTCCGCCTCCGGTGATCTTGTGATCTTGCAGGGCCGCCTCATTGGTTCATTTGCTCGAGATGATCACCTCCCTAGCCTCCTCCGATTCCAAATAAGAAAAATCCACTCTTAGGACTTCGTGACAGCCACCTCCACCACCTTGGAAATCGTGCCGCGGCGGCCGCTGATATTGATGATGATGATGATGATGATGGTGATGATGATGGTGGTGGTGGTGCTGATGGTGGTGGTGGTGGTGGTGGATGTTGTGGTTGTGGTTGTCTTGATCGTGGCAATGCTGGACATGGTGGAGGTTTAAGAAGAGGATCGAGAGGACGAAGACCAGGAGGAAGAGGTGACGCGTGGGTTGCGCAACGAAGAACATCCGCCATTGCAAGAACGAGCCGCCCCCAAACACCCCCGAGCACGCGGACGTGACCACGATGTCTCGCGTAATGAACCTCCGCCTATGGGAATCAAGCTGATGGGGTTCTTCTTGAGATCATGGGGTATTCGTGATTTTCCATCGGATCGGTTTCTTTGGTCTGACATTTTCTTTGAGGATTTTTGTTTGTTTCTTTTTTCTTGTACATGGTGTCGTTCTTTTTTGAATACGTGAAAATATACGGTCTTTACGATTCGAGGATGCGAATTGTTACTTTTTGCTTCGTACAATAAAATCCTTGGCAAATTCATCAGGAGTACGTAGTACTCTTATGAAATGAATAATATAATAATAATGTACAAAATTGCTTAATGATAAAGCTAATTATGAAAACTGCAATTTTTCATTATTATTATTACACGCTAATGACAAAATTAGGTGCATGAGATAACATCCTTGCCAATATGGAAATTAAAAATATTCAAATAAATTTTATAATATTTCATTAAATAAGCGCTTGTGATTTTGCAATAAAATAATTATTTACACATTGTAAGACAGTGCTTTCTAAATTTTCAATTCTCCATGTTGCATTATCACTGGCTTATATTAATTTTTCACTAATATTTTGCTTTCATTCTCTTGACAATAGAAGCTATTTCGAAATTGACTTGTACGAAGAAAAATATTATACTTCCACTGAAAATCACGAAGAATAATAGTAATGAGAAACAGAAGAGACCCGATTGTCAATTTGAATAAGTATACAGAGAGACCACAGGAGTGATCTACTTACAGAATTCTTCCAGTACAAAATACAAAATGTCATTAAACCTTATCGAACGATTCATTTTTTATTTTATATTATTACATAGATAATACATGTTTTCATATTTCACAGAAAAAAATTAGAAATTACAATGAAATGTCCTATTTAATGATATTTAATCCACATCTAGTTTCCACGCAGAATTGAGCAAATTGCCGTCCAAAATAATAAAATATATTTTTATCTACTAATTTCTTTATATCATTTATAGCATGGATCACCAGTGCAATCGTCCCGGCAATATTGCCTATCGATAACATTATATAATAATGGCAAGGGTAGGTAGTAAAAAGTGTTTAGAACATTGGAATGTCTTTTAACTTACCTCAAGAATCATTTTAATTGACGCTTCTTGGTTCCATATAACTATTTTTCTTAGCATCAAAGATCGCCCATTTTTTACTGTAAAAATATAGTTAATGGACAATGATAATAAACCTAATGATTTTATAACTCTTTGTAACTCAGTCACCCCGTTGTAGCCGTTTCTCTACAGTCAAATCTTCGAATAAGATTGAGAATGAGTTGACAAGAAGTCTACGTTGGAAAGTTCAGTTCGTAGACAAGAAGGATTGTCGGAATCCCCGTTACTAATGACATCCAATGAGACTGGAAATGTTTCGATTAGAAGACCGAGCACATACGCATATAAAAATACGTCGTCTTAAATGCGTATTGGTACCCAGGGGAGTAAATGTAAAAAATAAGAAGAATCAAGAAGAGGAGTGTGTCTTAAATCAAAGATGGCTGGTGGTCCCTTATCTCGAGTTGGGAAGAGTAACACGTTCTCGCACCTACTTACTCCCGTCACCGTTCACCCAATTCATCCTGGAGAGATTGACCTCACCAATCCACGGCAATTTCCTATATCTTATTAAAAGGTCCATTAACGAAACAAAAAAAAATAAAAATTCCAAAATCATACCAATATTGTATTTTCAATACAAATTCTCAAAATATACATCGAATGAGCTCGATCTGTCATAAACGTTAATTATCAAAAAATTTAAAAATATAGGTGAAATTGGGCAATCGCAGTTGAATTTATGCACAGCAAATTAATCGGGAAAAAATAAAATTTTCAAAGCACAATGAAACTATTAGTACACGATTCGGTCCAGCTGAAATGAAAAAATCCGGTTCCCAATAAATAATGATCGCGCATAAAAGTTCCACGTTAAAAGCGATTCGGTTGATGCTCTGCTTATCGGCAAAGCGATTGCCGATGAAATACGCGTTTCGAATTGACGTAGTCGTCGTTTAATCGGATATAAAGGAGCGTGGAGCGATTAGCACGGTTTATAGTTCAGCCGGCAACCTGCTGGGCGTTAAGGGTCCGTTAAGGATTTATTTACGTACCTCTTAGTGGAATTATAAAGTAGCACAGGAGAGTCCAATCGTTACGATTTTAATCGACTGACTGGCGCCTCGTGCCCGATAATCATTATTACCAATCAGGTAGTGCATTTATGGCACTGTTCAAAGGAGAATTATGGACCAGCAGTACACATATGTACGTATGTTCTAAACACATAACTAGCACTACTTTTAATAGATATATTTAAATACAACCTGTCTACCTGTTGTGCATTTTAACTATTGCAGTGGTCATCGAAATAAAACTTATTATGAAAAATAATTATTGAAAGTTATACTCGTGGTATAATAAACAGTGTACAAGAGTAAGGCAGAATATAGGGTCCAATCACACTCCCTGAAGTTAGTCTATCTGCTTTCTATAAAAGGACAAACTTCGGTTGGTATGTTTGTACCGAGTACCCCTGGTTACTCAGAGGTAGTTTACCAACTGAAGTGAGGCTGTGCATTTAATTTGAACCCTGTAGTATCGCACCACCTCAAATTGGTTCTACCACAGAAATTAATAACTCCATACAGGGTTATTCGAAAATATTGCACCAGTTAAGTTTAGACAAGTAGACTAAATATTTAATTTTAATTTTGACTTTTCGAAAATTCGCTATCGACCCTTAGCCGTTTTAGTGCCGGAAGACGATATATCGTCGTTCGCTACACTTGCGGAAAGTGCCAACAACGATATATCGTTGCGTATGCGATGGCGCCTTATTCTTCGCATCGCAAAATAAATGTTGGGAAATACAATTAGCATTACATTATTCTCCCTTTCTTCCGTAATACGTTGCATTTTGAATTTTTTAAATATTCTTAGTTTGGGTTTTATGAGCTTTTT